AAGAAAACAACCAAGCTCAGAGAACCCCAACGACTCCACAGACTCTTAAGTCTCTGTTTAAAATTCCTTAAATCCAAAGAAAAAGGTAAAACTCACCAGGTATCAAATTAAGCTGCCTGTTTTGAAGGTCTCTAATAGCCATAAAGTGGTTAAATTAAACATTTCCAAATGTGATTAGAAAGTGAGTTTGGATGGCTTAGTGTCCTTATTAACGGATCTGCTGCTGCTGAGAGCAAAGATGTTGTCTCCCTTGGCTCCTGGAACTCAAACCCGTGGGAGATCTCACAAGAAGCTGCCATTCAGAGCACTCATGGGCAATCTCCCATTCTCTCATTCTCCAGAGACATTTGAAGGGCCAATCTACTTGCTGGTATTTCATTCTACACAGCAGTCATCATTTCCACTCGTGAGCCACAACTCACAGCAGAAGCCACCATATGTATAGTATCTGTTGCTGGGCTCATGGCCAATTTATATAACACACATCTCCCACCTCTTCTCTGTCCTCTGTTGAGGGCATATTGAATTTTTTTTTTTTTTGGGTCTTTGTAAATTTCATCTGAAATCTTCTGGATAATGGGATGGTAACTTGCTTAGAAATTAACTATTTTTGCCATTTAAATGGACATCTAATGTCAGGATTTATTGGGATTCTTGTTTCTGCAAGTAAAATATTTGCTAGTCACTGTTGGTTGCATGTCATCTGATATTTCTGTGGTTGTTAATTTAAAGATTGCACCTATTTCCACTAGCTTAGTTTCTAGAAAAATCTTTAAAACATGGTTTTCTTATGTACAGTTATCAGAAAGGTTAAAGTGGATAAGATTTGGAACAAAGTGAGACTGAATTTGAAAAGAATTATGTACTAATGATGAACATGTTATTGCTAAAATGTATAAACTTTTGCTGAAATATGAGACAGAGGAAGAGCAAGTGAAAGAATGTATGATGAAATGGGATAAAATTTTTGGCTATAATATACAAATGGATCAATGGGAAAATATGTGGTTGAAAGGATTGAAAATGTATAAACTTTTGCTGAAATATGAGACAGAGGAAGAGCAAGTGAAAGAATGTATGATGAAATGGGATAAAATTTTTGGCTATAATATACAAATGGATCAATGGGAAAATATGTGGTTGAAAGGATTGAAAATGTATAAACTTTTGCTGAAATATGAGACAGAGGAAGAGCAAGTGAAAGAATGTATGATGAAATGGGATAAAATTTTTGGCTATAATATACAAATGGATCAATGGGAAAATATGTGGTTGAAAGGATTGAAAATGTATAAACTTTTGCTGAAATATGAGACAGAGGAAGAGCAAGTGAAAGAATGTATGATGAAATGGGATAAAATTTTTGGCTATAATATACAAATGGATCAATGGGAAAATATGTGGTTGAAAGGATTGAAATTTACATTACGCTTCAGCCTTGAAGAGAATTTTTATGAAATGATGTATCATTGGTATTTGTCACCAGAGAAATTGTCAAGAATGTATAAAGGTATTTTGAATCTTTGCTGGAAATGTGAACATGAAGGGATATTTTATTTATTTATTTATTTATTTATTTTTCAAATTTGTATGCCGCCCATCTCCCCCAAT